ATAGGACATCCATTAATTCTATTGACGTAAACCAGTTGTCCGCTGTAATGTTGCGATTAGTTCCAAACAGAGGCTTCGCGAGACGTAGAACTGATTGTGTGGGTTTGGAATACCGCTTGTGTTCCTCAGGAAGTTCGAAACTATCGGAATCTTTACCGCAGTATATATATGCGTTATAGAGGTAGCTATTCCTTGCATCCGTCAATGCCATAATTTTTATGCCATATTTGCAAGGTTTCGCAGGCATATACATTTTAAATCGACATCTTCCTCTGAAACTCACGAGCATTTCATCGACAGTGACAGACTGGCCAACTCCGTACACATCTTGACAGTTCTTTATAAAACTATTAAAAATGAAAGATATTGGTGCTACTGGATCTAGCTTCTTTCTTTCATTCCTGTCATCTGGGTTATCAAACCTTAAGGCTGACAGGAGAATACCAAATCGTTTTATGTTCATGACAGCTCTGAATATATCTCTTCCAGAGCCATCGGTGGCAAAAAGTGTTTCAATGTTCTCGTGGTTGCTGTTGAACACCGATGTATATACTAAGAGACCCAATAGTGCCTTTATTTCGACTAAATCAGTGTCGTTTAGGTTGCTGGTTTGATTTTTGTATCTCTTTCGCATTTCTTTGAGCTTGTGATTGGTCCACTTAACGATATGTACCAACATGTCGTCAGTGAACAAAAGCTGCCAAACCGTCAACGGAGCTGCTTCTTCTCCATATTCATGAGGTTTTCCTCTTAGAGTTGCTACTTTAATGACTATATTGTGCTTCCTTGTACGTGATGATGGTACAACTTCCGAAATATTCCACCTATGACGATTTTTTCCATAGAAATAATTCTGAGCTGGTAAATCCTCTTCATTTCCTTCGGCTCCGTCTTCTGATAACTCACTATCACTTGTATGATCTCATTCCATGTATTCGTCTTCTGAGGCACTGTCTATATCACTAAAGTCACTTCCTTCATCCTCAAACCATTTTAGAACGGTTTCTTCGAACTCCGGATCATCGTATCGTACACGTTTAGAAGGTCCCGCCATACTCGCAAACGCACCTATGCAACACAAATAGCAAACGGGAACGGAAACGTGCCGTCTGACAGACTGCAACAAACTAAAATTGGTCCATATTTTAAGGCACGTTTTGGCTAGACTCGTGTGAATGGGGGTGGGCGATGGTCACTAATAGCTTATGGATTAGATGGGTTTTTACGTCTGTTAGAGGTGGAATAAAAAAAGATACGCTCAGGTATAGAAACGCCGCAGTCTCACAGACGGCACCTTTCCGGTTAAGGGTTAAAGCCACGAAAAATATTGGAAGGAATGTCATTTTGCCATTGAAAAAATGGCGTCAAGTAGGTTGACTTTGTACTTCCCACGCTACAACGTTCGTAAAGATGTACGTTTGGCACAAGTTGGCCTTCTGACAAAGAAGTTTGAAAAGATTGTCTGAAACATCCAAAAACGAAGTCTGAGTGTTTTTTTTGTTGTTGTTATTGGTATTTTCTCCGCCGTCACTCAGGGGCGGGAACTAGAAGCTCAACTTTGACAACCTGTCATGCAATTTTCAACTGCCATGTTCACACTACAGTATTCATGTATTAATTTCATTGTGCCAAATTTCAGCATGCTAACTCAATCCGTTCAAAAAGTATTTAAAAAAAAGTACTGTATAAACTACGGTGACATGATTTCTCGACTTTACAAAGATCTGACACACTGTCTGGCATTTTCACAATGGAAGTCATAACAGGCACATGCAGTGATGTTATTTCTGTTAAAACACTATCGGGACGTAAGTTGAATCAGAATTATGTTTTTCTGAATACATAAAAGATGCTTGCGTACCAAAATATAATGCTTTCCATGATAAATGTCATTCCTACTTGTTTTTAGCGGGTGAAGTTACTAAACCGAAATTCGGTGCGATAAGATTGATGTATGGATTTTGATTTAGCGTGAAAGTGACAGTTGCATTGACGGTTAGACAGGAAGGAAGAGGTGAATAGGGTACTTGAAGTTCACTAATATTTTTTGTCACAAGGGCAGCAGCACTGATGCTGATGTCCGCATTTTCAATAAATCGATCAAATTTACTCCTCAGGCAGTTGAGAATTTCAACATGGCGGCGGGATCTACCCGGAGAAAAACCCCTGTATGCGCCTATGTTGACTCAGGCAGGGGTTATAGATCTAGATTTATTCGGTTTGTTTTATTTAACTGGCCTAGAAACTTCCATGCACCGTACACATGATTCAGGTATGGTAGAGGACTGTTATAAATCTTGACACCTAAGCACATTTGGCAGCCATCTTGTAAGAATGAAGATTACTCGATTTCAAGCTTTCAGATACTATTTTGGCTCTAATAAAAATGTCTGGTCATCAAGAATGAAAGAAAATAAAAAATTACGTTCTTTTTAAACCCCGTAATAGTCCTTTACCATATAAAAATTGGCGTACGTGATGTATGGTAGATAAGATGCTTTATAGTCAATTTTGAGCCATAATTTTATTATTTTTGAAATTATCATGTACAAAAATATAACGTATATTACCAAAGTACATATGGACCAAAAAGAAATGAAATGAGGAATAAATAAACATAATGTAGCACTTACGTTCTGATAACTAGCGAATTGTTCCACCAAACGCACAGCCACTGCACACAACTGCAGTTCCATGATTGGGCGTCAGCAGGTCTATGCATAATGAGATGGGTGGGGCATTTAGCTTTCATTCAAGTAGGTACTGTATTCCAGGGGAATTAATTGGACAATCTTTTTTTAACAAATTCAGAATTTTTTTCCCTCTGGTCCGAAGTGCTTTTAGGTTTTGCTGGGACTATCTGAACAAAACATTGAGGAGTGCTCGATTAACAATTGAAAAACTAATACATACAGTAATTATATGCCCTGAAAGGCTTCGAGGTTTTGTTAATCGATATTTGAAGGGTATTTAGCAGAATTGGCAACTTCATTTTCATTCAGTCCTACGGGGCCGAAAATTACATTTCGCAATTTTTTTAATATTGTAATGGTTACATTTTGACAAATATCAACTGCAGAAAAAAGTTTTACAGTACGTCCTTTGTTTAAAAAATCTAAAGGCACCTGGATCGTAGCAAAAAAGTAAACATTGGAATTTGTTAAAGAAAATGATTTAAAAATTTTTGACGCAGATTGGGTTCTGGCCATACTAGTAATGATCGAATTTATCATAGATTTTCCAATTTCAGCTATATTTGATGCAAAATGGGTTAAAACCGAGGCTACAACTTAACAATAAACAGAGCAACGGCACAAACACAACCCACATTTTTGACAAACCTTGACGGGCCGAAGGCTATGTTAGAAGCCGAACGCCGGCTTTGGCTTCGAATACTACTGGTAATTGGTTTTCGTCCTTCCATATTTGAAATCTCGATTCCAGCGTTTGACTATATAGGGTGTCCCAATATCAGGTGAGCATAGCAGTATTACGTATTTTTCACTCAAAATAAGTCAATTGGACATGATTTTTCTTTATGCACAAGTGCTTCGTTTGTATATTAGAGGGCTTCAAAGTTTTTTTTTTGAAACACATTTTTTCATATATTTTTGGAACCGGTATAATGTAGTCGGGGCGACAGCACTCCAAATATGTGAGCAATACTAGATGCTAGGTATTATCTGGGCCTTGTACAGAGATAGGAAGTCATGTGGAGGAAAGTACTTTTTAGCCCTAAACAGATTGCCTAGCTTTTACCCAGCAGCTGTCACTATTGACGAGATGTGTTCGTGCCAGGTCTAGACCTCGATTATCTGAACTCCGACCAACCGAAACGAATGGCTCTTTATTAGAGCTTGGCTATCCATCGAAATCGGATGAGCGCTAGGACGCTTTTTGCTCGTTCAATACAATGCTACGTTTTGGAACCATTAAACTGTACCCCGCAGTGTTAACCTCAAGGTTTCTCGTCAGAGAGATAGTCGCTGCCAATCTACTTTTCTACAGCTCATCAGCAGAGGTCGGCTTGACACCCTGAATTCCTGCATCTAGAGTGCTGTCATCAGCAAAGCTGTGGATTGCATTGACCGTAGAGGAAAGGAGGTCGTTAATATGTAGGAAGAATGGTGTCTAAGCCAAGACGGGCCCCTGGGGAAAACCCACGTTGACGTTGTGATTTTGAGATTCTAAGAGCTAATCACTAATGCCTTTCTGATAACTGAAGAGCAGGGGCAGTTGACGTTGGCTGGTCTTGGTTTGCGCAGTGAGAGAGTCATAAGTCATGGATTCACCTTTGATTGGGAATTTTTGCGCCCACATGACACTGCGCCCTGTGGAGGCAGCCTCACTTGCTTACCATCTGTAGCCGGTAACAAAAGCAAGCAAAACGATAGAAAATAGCGCTGCTATTTGACTAGTTGACCTGTACTATCTTTGCGCAGTGTAGGTTTGGCCAGTCCCATTACATGCTGTGTCAGCACGCCTCCAAACCAAATTAACAACCAACATGGAGGATCCGATGGTTTTTTAACCATATTATGGGGAAAATTTGCTTGATTTTGCACCCCGATTGCAAATATTAAGGCACAGATAGACATGCTCAAAACTAGCACAAAAGCATGCTACTAATGAGCAATTGCTACCTACTCGCACGTGTGTCTAAGCATTTGCTAGTATTCAGCATGCTCAAAACTAGCATGCTGACAAATCGATCGACGTTCGATTTTTGAGCGTGCTACTTGAGATGTGGATGGAGGGGGAATGCCCTTGAGCAAGTGTGGACGCCTTTGCTAATAACGAGCATGCTAGTGTTCCGTCGCAAGTGTGCATGTGTGTTGCGACATCGAGCCAAAATGTCTCGCTGGGGAGATGAAAAGACGTTTAAATTTGTAAATCTTTACCGGAGCCATGAATGCCTTTGGAATCCAAAGCTACCGGATTACAAAAACAATATTTCAAGAAATAATGCGTATAAAGATTTGATAATAAACATGAATGACCCTACTCTAACTGTTAAAATTATAAAAACCAAAATTAAAAATTTGAGGTCTGTTTACCACTCAAAAGTGAAAAAAATTAACAGTTCGAAGCGATCCGGATCTGGTGCCGCAACAGTATATAGTCCATCCCTGACATGGTTTAAAGAAATGCACTCTTTCCTTGGAGACACAGGTGATTACCGGGAAACTATTGAGACAGCAGTGGTAAGTTTTTATACTTTTATTATTATATCGCCTAGAGTTTTGTATAGAACATAATATATACTAGAAGTACAGGTTGTTTATATCATATGGCCTTGCTTCTGTAGTTTCAAAAAGTTGTGCATAAGCGTTTCTTATTGCTTCTGCCTTTCGAGAGGCATGGTTACTATGACACGCAGGTGGTAGGCTTCCCATAGCTGTACGCAGTTGTGTCCTCCATGCTCCTGGTACAACAACACGTTGTTGCACATCTTCAAAATCAACGCATCTGTGAGTGATGTACATATCAGATGTTTTTCGCAGCCAATTATGTAACGAGCAAGCAGCCAATACAATACTATCAACATTTTTTGGTCTCATATCTATAGTGTTCAGAAGAACTCGAAATCTTGTGACTAAAATACCAAACGCATTTTCTACAATCCGTCTAGCCCTCGACAAACGGTAGTTAAACACTTGTTCTTTATGCGTTGGTGTTCGTGGGTAGGGCTTCATTAGATAAGTCTTTAAAGGAAAAGCCGCGTCTGCCACAATTATCGATCGCTCTGGTAAATTAAGAGTATTATTTTCTAAAGCTTGTGCCAACTTTGATCGTTGAAAAACACCGCCGTCATAAGCTCTCCCATTAGTTCCAACATTTACATATGAAAAACAGTAATTATCGTCAACTAATGCGAGAAGTATAGTGCTGTGGGCACCCTTATAATTGTAATAATCGGAAGTATCATCAGGAGCACGTATATTTATGTGTTTTCCGTCCAGCGCCCCAATACATCCTGGAAAGTTCCATTTAGTTTGAAATCCATGCTCAATACGCTTCCATTCTTCATGGCACGGAATCTGTAAAAAAGAAAACAAAATCTCTATATCCAATAGTATACAGTAGAATTATTATTATCTAATATTTATTATTATTATTATTAATCTTTTTTACAGGACACAGATGAGTCATCGCAGGATTCTCGACCAACTAGTGCTAATTCGAACTCTAACCCCTTGTCACCGCCATCAGTCAGCACCGTAATGTCGCCACCCTCGACTACTGACATTGCGGAAGAAGGAACACCATCCCGTTCATCTAAGGACACACCAGCACGGCGTAAAAGAATTTCATTTTTTTGGTTTGAATATTGCTGCCCAATTGCGAGCCCTACCATTAGATGATGCACTAAACGTGCAAACTGAGATTCAGACAATTATAACTGCGGCTAGACGTCGACATCTGTACCCAAACTTGTCTACATACTCCACTTCACCCATACAAATAATAAATTCCACACCTACTTTTACAAATATTCAAACTAACAACAACCAAACCGAAGCAGAAGACGCTTTAAGCAGAGCATGGAGATTTTCTTAAAGTGTGTACTTACCAGATAATATGTTAACAAAAGTAAATGTTTCATTTGAAATAATATCAGTGTTCTACTTACCCGCATATAATCCTTCAAAGCCCTGTATATTGCATCACAAACTTCTGGTATAAATTGAGCTATGGTAGATCTCGCAACCCTGTGAAGTGCTTCTAATGTGTACATGGAATCTCCAGCTGCAAGGTATCTCAGTGTAACCTCCAATTTGATTTTAGCTGGAATAGCATTTCGCATATGTGTATCTTGTTTTTGTATAGCATTTTCAATTTTAGAGAGTAACTCGTCAAACTGATGCGGAAGCATACGTAAATAATTTTGATAACCCTCACTATTTTCTGCTCGCATTTCGACCAACAAACGAGTACTGGCTCCAAGATTTTCTCTTCTATTTATCCAATCACGGACCCAAATCGTCCTATTCCTTCTTTTTTTCTTTTTTGTTAAAAGTATATTGCGTATGCATTGCACTGCAAGTAATATGATGGTTTCGTTCACTTGTGTGTGGATAGCCACGTCGTGTTCCATGTTTTCCACCACACTACACTGACAGATGCTAGCAAATGGTACGTGTAGGTAGAGTGTTTGTTTTAAGCATGCTTCTGCAGGACCATGCCTGAAACGAGCATGCTTATTTCAAGCACATGTATACAGTTAAAAGAGCATTCTCGTTTGAAGCATGCTCACAGGCATGCTTTTTTATAGCATGTCTATCTGTACCTTTACCGTCAGTAAATATATAAAGAAGGTAGCATTTAATGAAACCAACTAAAAACTTAAAATGTTTTCTTCTTATGCACATACCTGCTTGAACCAATTTTCTGTAATTTTACTTTCTTGTCTATTTAAATTACATCACTGTGCATTTTGGATATTAATAAAGTGATTGGTAATATGGGAAAACATCTGTGCATTTGATAAGAAATTGAGGGCAGTTTACATAATGAAAAACATGTCAAAACATCTAGAAGTGGACCGAACCATCGCAGTTCTACTCCTGGCGTATACGGCGGGATTACAATAGTTAAATTAACTTGGTCAGCCGGAGAAAACTTTCGTACCTGGAGATTTATCATGATTAATCACTACTAATATGCCTCATATTTGTCTTATTAACGTTTTCAAAAAGGTGCTCATAGCTACGCCGGGGGGACTGTAACATGGAGACACATCTTAGCATTTTATAAGAAAATGAGGGTAGTTTAAATAATGAAAAAAAAGTCAAAACATATGTGGATCGGACCGTTGCAACCCAGTAGGTTTACAGCCTCCCAACAAAAACTTTATCCTGAGAATGGGCAAAGCGCCGCATAGGAGCACATAAACACACAAAAAGGGTGCTCGTCGAAGTTAAACATATGTTCGAATAGAGTTCTGACAATATGGAATAAACAACTGGAATCGAGATTCAAAACATCAAGTAAATTACAGCGGAAAGATGTTTTCCTCGGACATTGGCTTGCTTCTACTAACGACAAAGACTGTCCGACTCTCCCACCTGTAGAATTGGTAGGTGCTTGATAGAATAGCTCATCAAATAATATGGAGTATTTGTTGATCTATTTGTACATATCCTAAATTGTCCCTTTTAAATGCGAGAGCACTGAACGATCTGCCTGTCCTCTCGGTCCAAGATGATTATTCGGGAACAGCAGGTACAACCCGAGATTAGAGGGAAATACCAGTTTTTTCTTTTGTGAAGTAATCTGTTTATCTTGAGAGTTAATAAACGGATTATACTCAACTCTCGAAAATCAGCCATGTAGCGTAACCCCACTTAACCCCAACCGCCTGTCAGACTTTCAGTTGAGCATCTCCAGTCTAAAAATGAAGTGTCTAGAACAGTGCTAAAAGTGATAAGGTCGTAGCTTTTGAAGATTTTTGTGACCAGTTTTCCAAACATTAAGTATAGCTAAGTGTGAAATCAACTATGCGAATAACTGACCTTAGTGCGAACCGATTTTAAGAAGTCTTCTGAGCGTAAGGTAGTAAATAGGTAAGTTACCTTACATCTTCTTCTCAAAACACCTGACAAATTGATATTAGTCTTATTAACGGTTTCCGTTATCCAGCTCGAACCGCACCAAACTCTTAATAACATGAACTTTAAGTTATAATCGGAATGTCCTCTCGAATTCCGGTCTATCCTGGTGATAATACTAACTGGCATCGTGATTAGCGAATTTCATCGTGACCAACTTAGCTAATTAATTAATGTATTTGACTAATTAGCTAAGTACCTTTCACTAACAAATAGCAATAATGGCCAACCTATTACAATCGGGAGCTCCTGGATTACCTTGAACGACATGGCTTGATTAGCGACAGGTAGTATGGTGGGCTGGGGACCTCCTAGCTTACGTCACGTAACTGTGGAGTAAATTAATCCAGACTTATGGTGCGGCTCATGCCGTTGCTCTTGATCAGCTGTGGCAAGCTGTCCTCTTAAACAAACTTCCAACTAATGGCCTCCGAGAGAAGCTCTGGAGATGTGTGGCTGACTTCCTCTCTGGCCTTAAGATATCCGTCGACAATTTCAACACGGGTGTTCCAGAGGAATCCGTCTTGGCTCCTCTCTGGCAGCCCGGCTCGATCTCGGCTTCTCATACTAACCGAGTCAGACTTCTCTTTTCCCAGAGATAATCACCTTCGGCATTTGAAAAATCGATTAACAAAGCTTCTTTGAGTTCCTCATAGCAGCCGCGGTACCCTGGCATTTAGGTTTCCACCCACGCGGCTGCTTCGCTACAAAAAAATAAACGGATGTGAAAAGCTCAAGGGGGCGATTTCTCCAATTAGTAGTGCAAAAATATTTTCTCATGGGACTAATACACTTGGTCGCTGAGTGATTCATAATGGAAATCTGCATCGGTAGTGAATTGAAAAATAAAATCCGTTGAAAACAAAGCAACTAAGATAGCAAGATTGCTGCACTACAATCTGCTAACACAACGAATTTACATTAATCACGGAATAGGTCCATGTGTTGATATTACGATATTCTATTAAAGCGTTAAGCTTATTTCAGATCTTTTGCTTTACTGCATAACCTGTAAGTATTATAAGCGATGTTACCTTAAGAACTATTTATACGGGACGAGGCAAAAATGTTCCAACTCAGTTTTACTTCTCACACCACTAGCAAAAAATTTCGAAAATGAGACACTATGGTTTTTTGATGTTATATGAGATGTATAATACATAGATCAGGTTCGGATAAAATTGAGTTTTCCTGTTATCCACCTATATTAAACACTTCTCTTTTCTTGGATATTTTCCGAACATACAGAAAAAATCGCTTATCATTCCAGTCCCAAAAATTGCTTTCCCCAAATGTTACAGTTATAAACCAAACCAAACCAAACCAATCAGTTTACTTCCTGTTTTATCGAAATTACTTGCGAATATTATGTTTTCACAATTTAATACTTATTCAATTATCAATAGTCTACTTCTAGATCAACAATCTGGATTTAGAGATGGCTATAGCACGACGGCAGCCGTTCTATCGATACATGATACACTTTTATTGCCCTTTGATTTCTCAAAAGCCTTCGATACAATTAACTACGAACTCCTATTATCAAAATTGCATTACTTAGGACTATCCAAGAACACTGATTTTTTTGGCAGAGATTTGTAAAATGAGACACTACGCTTTTTGGTTGATATATGAGATGTTTAATACACAGATCAGGTTCGGAACTAGAAAAAATTTTGTGGGCAGTTCCATCTGATGAATTTTAATTTTTTCTTGAGGTGTTGGTAAGGTGGATAAACCTATGACCATCTATGGGGTATGAGCGACTGAAAATTGAAGATCGTGGAGGAGGGGGTCGTCGGTGAGCTGAAGAAATCCTTCCTAATTTTTTCAACTAGTGGGTCTGAAGGAATTCCTAATAAAATGATAAAACTTCTAGATCAACAATCTGGATTTAGAGGTGGCTATAGCACGACGGCAGCCCTTCTATCGATACATGATAGATACACTTTATTGCCCTTTGATCTGTCGAAAGCCTTCGATACAATTAACTACGAACTCCTATCATCAAAATTGCATTATTTAGGACTGTCTAAGAATACTGAATTTTTTTGGCACTCTTTAATTGGCAGACGTCAAAAATCCGCATGCTGTAAAATGAACTAACTCATTGTGAACATGGATTTTCATCAAATGTTTGGGCTGGCATGTCCATTGGACCCTACTTGTTTCCACATCGACTGACCGGTGAAATTTACTTACATATTTTCTTCGACACAATCTGCCACAATCATGAGAAGATGTTCTTTTAAATGTGAGACAGAATATGTGGTTCCTACATGATGGGGCTCCACCACATTTTAGACGAGAAGTTCATAAACACCTGAATAATGAGTTTTCGATTAGATGGATGGGGGTAATTGAAAGAGTTGGTGTATCATGATGGAGCAGTAAATACTCTTAGACTAACTAACTAATAAACTTCAACAGCGCATTGAAAATGCTTGTGATTTAATTCGTGGACTCGAGGATTTTATTTTCGAAGCTTGTAAAGGGTTGTAGATTCGCCGAGCAAGATGTTGCGTCGAACACATGGGGACAATTTTAGACAGTTTTTATAAAAACGGTATCAATTAAACTTGATAATGATTTTTTAGAATAATTTTGGAACTAAACTAAATTAGAAATTGCATCTTCTACATATGTAATTGTAACGGTTTCAGGTGCTGAACTTTTCTTACCTTGGTTTACGTTATCATCACTTTTATACATCTACCTCCATTACAATAGTGTACCTGCCAAGCCTAAGCATC